CAGGCACGCTGTGACCTTTCTTTACAATCCTCCACATCCACAGTGCATGTGACCAGCTGCTTTTTTTAATTCCAAGCAATCCAAATAATAAATTCAGATTCTGCTTTTGAAGGCATCTTCCAATCCTTCCCTTTCTCCAGTTGCTACAGATGGCCTACCCTAGTGGTAGGTTCCAGCCCTGGGGCATAAGCGATCAATAACTTACCTTTTCCTCAGAACCATATAGTTTTATTACCTTGTTTTAACTCTAAATGAGATCCTGCCTAAAGGCAGTTGCTTCATGGCAGGTCTTCTGTGATAATTTCTGTGAATTACAGGTGCTATGCCAAATACAGCCATTCAGTGTGACATGGGGATTATGTTACCAGGAGAAAAACAGAACAGGACTTCTTGGAAGTAAGGTCATTGAGATGTGTGTAGGTCACATACACATGGCTGGAGAGATTGCTTGACTCTAGGACAATGAACTCCTTTGATGAGGGAAAAAATTTGCCCCTCTAGAACTTGCTTATTCCTCTAATATTTAAAGATGGCCTTAAAAGATAAGATGTCCTCAGAGGATCAGTTAATTTGGCTCTCCCTCCTTTCAGCTTTCAAGATAAGATGAAGGTGGTGAGACACTTAAAGGGAAATATCAGGAGTGCAATTCTTAAAAAGTCTAGTAAATTCTTAATTTTAGGGTGAAATTTATTTCCTTCTCTCTTTTACTATTGCTTACTTCTCTAGAAATAAAACCCACGCAAATCAAAAAAAAAACCAACAAAACAACAAACAAAATGTCTCAGGATTAGTGCTGAAGTCTCAGTAATAAGGAAGAACAACATGAAAATTTTCTGTGCAGCCTTACTTACAAAGTCTTGTGTATAGTCATTATGCCATTATTCCTTATGTAACGAAAAGCTATATTTTATACACAGGCCTCCCCATTTTTTTCTTTTAGCAACCTTGCAGAGAGTAGGAAAGCATTTTTTGAGCACTCAGAAGGAAGTCTACAGAGGATTTCTTTTAATGTGCAAAGAAGCAGTGCTTGTCGTTAACAGTGAAGCAGTGCTGGAGATCCAGGATCCAGAACATCTCCTGTCCTTGCCACAGAGTCCTACTATTGTCTGAAGCAAATCACTAATAATCTTCCTCACGTTTGCTTATGATGTTATTACTTCTCGTCCTATTGGGGGCACAGGGTAGGTCAGCTATGAAGTCACTCAAGACAGCTAACCACCTTTGTCCCCATTTCAGTACAGAGTTTGGATGACAGATGGTGGGCAAGATGTGCAAACATGGAAAAAAGGTCTGAATTTAATCTCATGTCATGTTTGTCATCATTGAATGCTGAATAAGGCAGGCTCTAAAGATACACAGTATCTACTTATCCCTAAAACATTTTGTCAAAGTGCAGATACAAAAGGTGTTCAATTATCACTGGCTTTTCATAGCTTCAGCATCCTCAGAGTTGCAGCAAAGGTCTTTGAACGTATAAAATTCTGTGATGTGTCCTGTGCTAAACGGTCCTGTCACTAAAGTCAGCTTCAGTTTGCATACGCTGTGCAAAGTGCCTGAAGCTGACTGAAGAGCAATGGTGGAAAATTCTGTCTTCAAATGGCCATTTTCTGCTTGTGGAATGAAAACAAAACAGTTCCCATGCTCTTTACTAACAACTTCCATGAAGATGTTGTTCAGTTTCTCTTTTCTTTCTGATTCACAGCATATTCTTGCTGTGCCTTAAAACTTGACAGGAGTGGAAAGATAAGTATGAAGCCACCACAACTGACTTTTTGCAATCACTGCCCGGGCAAATTAAAGAATCTATCCTATTTTGTATCTTAAACTTTTAATTTTTTTCAGTGTATGCCACAAGAAATAGCAAAGAAATGGTGTGAAAGTCTTTAATTCCCCATTCTGATTCTCTGTTCTTTTGTTGCAGTGTAATCAGCCGCACAGTTTCTTACAAATAAGACGTGATTCAGACAAAAAACCAATTTATTTGATTTTCAGTGTTGTAATACTTGTTTTGATTTAGAGTTCTACAAGCTTTTGTATCTGAAAGTGTTGGCAAAGACCCAAACAATACACTTAACTGCTTTAGCATTGTAGAAACTTCTTAATATAAACACGTTTCTGAAAAAAACAGTGTTATATTCACGTTCGCTTTTGACTGTAATACTGAACTTTTTTCTTCATACATATTTTCATAAAAGACTTTTTCTTTGGACAACATGAAGCAACTCCAGCTGATACATTTTGGATCCTGTTTGTTACTTTTGACAGCCATCTAGTGGACACCACACAGTGCAACAGAACAAAACTTCTATCACAACAGCAATGTCTGTGTGGTTATCTGGTGGTGCAAACTGCAGGGCCTCTCCCAGCTGGTGAAACTGCAGTTCTGGTTAATAGATTTCTAAATTTTAAAAATTCACTATTTTATAATCTGTCAGTGAAATCATTTGTAGAAGTGTGCCTTAGTTTCTGACTGAAGAAATGACTAGAAATATCATACTGGCATCATATCCACAAAAAGTGGGTGAAGAAAATAAAATAAATATGAAAAGTGAACCATATATTCCCCTAATACATTTAAATACTTCTGAACCAGTTGAATATTTAAGTCCACTGTTAGAAAAGTTTAGTAGTTACTCCTTATTCAAAGTTTTCCTGGTGTGAGACAGCCTTCCATTTATCTTCACTTATTTCTATCCACCTTTTAACTTTTGCTTTAGAGCTCTCAGACAAGCTTATATATATATTTGAAATTATGTTGCCATTGGAGAAATTAGTCTTATTGAGCACAGGAGTAAACAGTCATCTTCTGTTTTGCCTAAAATTGCAGCAATGAATCTGCCCTCAATAGAACAACAAAAATAGAAAACTGTATTCTTTAGGAATCTGTGTGTTGTTCCAGCAGCTTAAAGAGAAAAAAAATTTAGTCAGGCAATGAGATAGAAATGTTAGGAAATTTGGATATAATGAGCCAAACCCTTCATTAGTATTGTGATTATTTTGTGCTCCTGGAATATTTAGGAATTCAAACTCAAAAGATATTGATTGAGAGTAATAGTAGTCATACTAGTAACAATGGTAATATGGCTATGAATTTATGACAATACAAGCTGCAAATGACAGTTTACAGTAGCAGTCATGCTATCTGGACCTTTCCAAAACATTTTTGAATACTTTTTTGAGCAGATCTCACAGTGATCACAAAGATGCAACAAATAGGGAAAATGAAAGGCAAAGAGGAGCTTTGCACAGTTCAAGATCATCTAGCAGGATGGTGACAGAACTCTGATGTCTCATGGTTTAATCTTAGTTTGAGATTGGTAAAGTATAGCATATTTAAGCAAACAGAAAAAATTACATAAGCAAATTAAATCAAATTTTGGAAGAAGTGTATGTGTTCTGATTTACAGACAGTGAATTGTTCTAAAAACTATAGTGAAAAAAGAATTAAATTACTACAATTTCTTGACATTTTTTAATACTGTTTTCTGTATTTTTTTTAAAAAAAGGGACACATTGCCAGGCAATGTGCATCTGTGTCAAAACAGGCAATATATGTTTCTTTGACCAGTTCATTTAACAAAGGTGAAGCAGGCCACAGGAATGTTGTAATTTCAGTAAAGCACTGAAGTGACAACTTCATTGAAACCTCAAGTAAATGGCACATAAAACAAGCTAGTGCAGAGTGCAGTGTGTACCTTCTGTGACACCTGCACTAGGCTGAAGCCTAATTGGCAACTGACCTGTACTGCATCTTTTCTCTTCTGCTGTCATGAGATATAACTCAATACCAGTGGGTGTTCTTCAAATGAGTTTCAAATTGAGTACTTTATAGGGGTTCAATACAAATACATGTTATGGTTCTAACACTTATCCATGTTTAAAAAATCATGTGAAAGATCCTCTGTTCATCCCTCATTCTTAAATGCTTTAACAGTACTAAGTTCCCAATAGTATGGCAAATGAGCCTAGAGACCTATTCTTGCTAATCCACGCATTTGTAACCTCTGAGATTATATACCACAACACATTAAGTCTAAAAATAAATCCACATGCTCCAAGAAGACTCCATATAGTACCAAATGCAGTTGTTGGGCTGCCAAGCATCACAGGTTGCCATAAGCACATCCTCTCAGCACCACCCACTCTGTGCCAGTGTCTAATTGTTTGCAGACTCCTGTTCAAGGTCTTTCCACTGACTTTGAAAACCCTTTGTGGAAATATCACAGTCTGTGTGAAACAGCATCTACTCTCTTTCTCTCCCCTCACCCTTCAGCTTCTCGTGACAATCATGTTCCCTAGGAAAGATAAGCCAATCTTCATACCAAATACAACCACCAGAAGTGGTGGATCTAAACTGTGTCATTCAAAAACATGAGTAGCTACAGAACTTGTGCTGTCAGTGAACAAAGAACTAATTGCTTCAGTCTGGTTGTAAAATAGAAAATCTAATGCAGTGAGATGTGCTAAGCACACACATAATGCCTTAAAGCTACCCCAGCACTTTGTTTATTGGGATAGGAAAAAGTACGTTCTTGAAATATTTTTGTAGTAATAAAATATTGCAGTTGGGTACTTGATAACAAAAGAACCCTCAACTGCCTTAACAATGGTAGACATGATAATGAGGGTCCAGCTTAGGAGAAACAGGGCCAGAAGAAAAGAACAATGAAACATCATTTTTCCTCCAGTATAGAGCTCATGGATACTCTATATGCAGAGGAGCATAAAGCTTCCTCTACCCTAATAGTGGGGCTTTTCCTCTACCAAATTTCTTTTCCTTCAGACTTCTTTGTTTTGTTTATCAGTAATTTTAAAGTGTCTCTCTTGTATGCCTTGTGTTTTTGCTCAGCAGTGGGTATGACCAGGTCTTTATTTCCCCTTTAATCTTTATTTTTTTGCTATAAAGAAGCAGTAAGTTATGCTACTTTTGTCAGACAAGTGTTTATTAATTTCAGAATTCTTAGATCAGTGGAATAAATATTCTTCTCTTCTTTTTGTAGTTTCGATGTAGACAATGGTACATCGTCGGGAAGAAGCCCCTTGGATCCTATGACAAGCCCTGGATCAGGGCTAATTCTTCAGGCAAATTTTGTCCACAGTCAACGCAGGGAGTCTTTCCTTTACCGGTCAGACAGTGATTATGACCTGTCTCCCAAGTCCATGTCCAGGAACTCTTCCATTGCCAGTGATATGTAAGTACATCATAAAATACATCTAGTCTGTAATTTGTCCACTGTCTTAAGATTTTTCTAGCCACAAGAAATTTTTTTTTTTGAAAATCAGAGACAGAAATCACTTACGATACTGATGTAATGGAAAATCGTTTGCCTATTTCTTTAATGAAGATTATACTTTTTTCTGCAGCTTTCTGAAGGTAAGGATATCATGACTTGACATGTTTATGCACTCTATTATTTTTGACAGAATAATGAAGACAGTCAATACAGGTGTATGAAAACGCTAAGGAAGGCTTCCATTTTCTGGATATTAAGATATTTTCAACTATACAAATTCAATCTTTGCTTCTTCATATTCTTAAGAAATAGATTCCATTTATTTGTACCAGCGACTTACTACCTGGCAGAAAATAACTTCAAGAGAGACAAAAATTATTTCAAATACCCTTTTAACTAAAAGGCAACATTTTAACAGAAGACCTTCGAGAAGTTATGCTACTCTCTCTCACTGTTCTTCTATGACCTGTGTATTTTCTGCTAGAGTGATACTTTTCAAATATGTGTAAACCCCAGGTTGTATATGTAGGAAGTCAGCTGCAAATCTCTGCTTATTTGTAAGACAGTAAAAACATTCTAGTCACTTCTAAGTAGGAGAAATCAATAACTCTTTTTTGTTGTTGTTGTTCATTTCTTTGCCTTATCTGCTCAAATTTCATGCCAAGTAGGTGTTTATGGTTCAAGTATGTATCACTAAAGTAAAGGCTTGTAAGAATCCTGTAGTGAATGAGGAAGGCTAAAGCATTAAAAAGCATTAAAAATCCAACATTAATATAAATGGTGGTTTTTAATTAAGCAAAACTCAATCAGTATCCTCTTTAAAAAAATAAGACTAGGCACAAGAAAGGAAAAGGATTTTCAAAATAATTAGTGAAATTACATCTGATATTTAACTTGCCATTAGTATAAATGAACACTCCTATTTTTAGCGTTTTTAGAACTGTTGTTAGTTCATTTAATTGTAGCTCTTTTTCTACATAGAGTGTTAAGGTAAGAAAAAATCTTGCCTTTATAGAGAGATAATGTAAGGTACTTTTCTCAGTTAAGCCCTGTAGCTTACTCAGTAAGTTTCGTGCCCAGTGTGACCAATTGTGGTTTAGACAAAATGGGTAAGAACAAGACCAATTCATCTTGCTTTCTTATAAGGAAAAATGCTTTTTTCTTGGAAATAATGCCCCCCTTTCAGCAAATCCTCCTCTGATAGATAACCTTTATTTTACATAGAGAAGGGTCAAGCTTTTAGTGTGACACCTGTGCCAGGATACATTTGTAAAGATTTCCACATTCAGGAGGGCAGTCCAGGTCACTGCGTTGCTTAGATGAGTCATTTCAATGAAGAATTCAATTAGTGCTCCATCCTTGAACTCATGATCCACTTCATTTCCTAGAATTTTGGGTAATATTTCAGCACATAGCAGTAAATTGGATAAACAATTGAATTACTGAAACACCGAGCACATTTTTTCCTTTTTTTCCTGTCAAAACTTCCTTTCAAAACTTTCTTAAAACACATCTACTGATAAAATCTATTGAACCTCACATCTTGATAGATTTTCACAGTCTCCTGTCACAGTTGAGCTGTTGTATAAAGAAGATAAATATTCCTGCCACTGTTTACTATGGGAACACATAACAAAATGTAAAAGGCAAAGTGTTTTAAGTATGGAATATTAATCATATGTCAGTAAGCCTAGGTGTAATAAGCTTGGCTGTATCGCAGAAATGAAGTGAAAGAAAGCCAAGGAATGAAAGAGGGGAAAGCTTAAAAAGATGAAATAGGGAAAAAAATAAAAATTACAGAGGTCTTTATATATGGATTTAACAAGAAACTAGATGTGCTCAAGAAAAGGAAACCCAGTGAAAATTATTAAAATAGAGAAACAACTCTGGCTCAGGACATTGCTAAATGAGATGGAGGATGGAAGAGTTGTCAAGGGAAGTATCACACAATTTTTAGGTTATGCATGCTTAAATATTGCATGTTTCCTAAGCATGAGAAAAATATATTGCAAAATATGCACATCGTTCAAGTAATATAGGTGGATTAATTGTACATAACAATTTAATCTAGATCCCCTAATTTTTCACTACTTGAGCTACCAACCTCAATATTTCAAAAGACATGCATCTTGTATTTGCAGGTAATAGAACATAAAGAATTCTACATTTCTGTTACTCTCAAATACTGTGCTTACAGCAATACATTTCAGTCAGTAGCAACAAAAACAAAAATATCAAGATTTTAGTCAAATATGGAAAGTCATGATAAGACAGCCAGTGGATGGCAGTGCTAAAGTGCTCAGCACTGTCATTCATCATTCTGTCATTATTTATGATGTGCACAGCTCCAGCCAAGGAAGAGAACACAGTTGTGCTCAGTTGTTTGCAAACACAAAATGAAAAGATCGGCTCTACTACAAACAACTTGAAGTCAAAGCGTAAGATGACTAATACAATCAGATGATTATCCCCAGAAGAAAGTACGATGTGAGTCATTATGCCCAAAGTAGTAAACCTCACAGGGCAAGCAAAGAGGATTTCATTAAGGTAGTTGAGGTGAAAAGAAACAAGGTCAGAGAAGAAAGAGAGAAAGTTTCTTAAAATCAGAGAGACTAAAGTATATTTTGAAGTGAGGAGCTGGATAGGCTATGGAAAAGAATAAAAGGATGAGTGCAAGGCTGCTCTGATGAGAGAAGGTTAGGGGACAAATGTGGGTGCAGTTAGAGAGGTAGACAAAACTTCCTGTATAAGAAAGGAAAATAAAATAAAATGGAGTGGGAGTCAGTAACATATTCTTTCAATTATCCCTTGGAAGAAATAGTATGGTCCTTGAGAAGAATAAAAGCAGGACATGGAGATGACATGAGGAGATTAGAAAAAGCTGTTCAAGGCTGTGAACTGGAGATGCAAGTGGTCTACACAGGAAGATGCAAGGACCAAGGCAGAAGAGCACAGATGTGTTGTGAAGCCTTGCTGTGGGATTTTAGGCAGAGAGATGAGGATGTGCAAGAGAATAAGTAACTGAGCAAGGCAGTAAGGGGTATTGAGCCAATATGAGAAATTATATAACAGGATCTATGACGGGAGATGGGGCATGGGGAGGGTAGGGGGTGCAGAATGGAGGATGGGAAAGAAACAAACAAGTCCCCAACAGTAGTATTGCAACACAGAGGAAAAAGAGAACCTAGGTGAAAGATAAGCAAAATGATCAGTGTTGTAGTGGAAGAATTGCCAGGTTTATATTTGAAGACATCAGTAAAGCAGAGAGCTTTGCAGATGTCTTGCTGAGGTGGCCTGATTACTTAATACTGACCTATTTGAACTGCTGTGGCTACCAGAATTTGCAAAGGCAGGCAAAAGCAGAAGTGGTAATATATATATATATAAAATTCCCTTCTTACTAAGTGATCACTGCCCTGGTTAATGGAGCAAGAGATCAAATCAGTAGAGAATTTTCATTTTAGCAAAACCCAGGTCTCTAGCCAGGTTAAAAATTGATTTCCTAGGAAAAAAGCTAACAAGCAGTCAACTGGCTGCACCACAGCCCATGTTTTACTGCCACTCTAAAGGATGAAAACATGTAACCCCCCACCATGATCCTGAAGAAGCATAATAGAGAGTAGCAGACTAGACCAGAGCACCAAGACGTTCTCAGTAGACAAGTCTGTCTGAGCTCCAATATATCTTCTGAGTGTACCTCCCTTAAATTTATTCTTCTCCCATTTCCACAAGGTCATAGAACATAGCTCAGATGCAACATTCTGATCCTCTCAGAACTTGGGCAACTGAACCTCACTCACTAAAAAAGTAATTGGTATGGGGAGTTTTTCTCATTGTTTGAATCACAGGATCATAGAATAGAATAGAATCAACCATGTTGGAAAAGACCTCCAAGATCATCCAGTCCAACCCTTGATCCAACACTGCCATAGTTACTAGACCATGGCACTAAGTGCCACATCCAGTCTCATCTTAAAAACCTCCAGGGACAGAGAATCCACCACCTCTCTGGACAGCCCATTCCAATGTCTGGGCAGCCTATTCCACTTCTGTTAAAAATTTCTTCCCAATATCCAATCTAAACTTCCCTTGGCAGAGCTTAAGATCGTGCCCTTTTGTCCTACTGTTGTTTACCTGGAAGAAGAGACCGAGGCCCACCTGGCTACAACCTCCTTTCAGGGAGTTGTAGAGAGTGATGAAGTCTCCCCTGAGCCTTCTCTTCTCCAGGCTAAACAACTCCAGCTATCTCAGCCTTTCCTCACAGGACTTGTGTTCAAGTCCCTTCACCAGCATCGTTGTTCTTCTCTGGACCTGCTCCAGCACCTCAATATCCTTCCTGAACTGAGGGGCCCAGAACTGGACACAGCACTCAAGGTGTGGCCTCACCAGAGCTGAGTACAGGGAAAGAATCACTTCCCTGCTCCTGCTGGTCACACTGTTCCTGATCCAGGCCAGGATGCCATTGGCCTTCTTGGCCACCTGGGCACGCTGCTGGCTCATGTTCAGCCTCCAGTCAATCCAAACTCCCAGGTCCCTTTCTGCCTGGCTGCTCTCCAGCCACTCTGTGCCCAGCCTGTAGCGCTGCAGGGAGTTGTTGTGCAGGACCCGGCACTTGGCCACGTTGAACTTCATCCATTGGAATCAGCCCATCTCTCCAGTCTATCCAGGTCCCTCTGCAGAGCCCTCCTGCCTTCCAGCAGATCAACACTCCCCCCCACTTTGGTATCATCTGTGAATTTGCTAATGGTGCACTCAATCCCCTCATCCAGATCATCAGTAAAGATATTAAACAGAGCTGGGCCCAACATTGATCCTGGGGGACACCACTGGTGATCGGCTGCCAGCTGGATGCGCACCATTCACCACCGCTCTTTCGCAGAAAGTGCACCTGTGTCATAAGTCTGAAAAGAGATGTTGGAATTTTTTCCCAGTGTCCACACCCTTTCCCTTCCGTCTGT